TAATGATAAGATTTGACTTTTTAAAAAATTAAGCTTTGGAGAAAAACATCAGGGCCACCCTAAATGGTGATTGGATACAATAAGGGGTTAAAGAAAGTCAACAGGTGGTAGTTGAGTAAGTATATGTCTAACTCTAAATGGTATCATTAAAAAAGTTAGTGATTATTATGCAGTGATTAGTTTGCATGAATTATTTACTTAAACAAAATTTAAAAAAATAGAAATAACCTAATTGGTTGGAAAGATGTGCTCATCAAAAGCCTAGAGTAAATGTGGCAAAGGCATGCGCGTGCGTGCACGCACACACACGCGGGTCCTTGAGGAAATCCAGCATCTGGTGCAGCACTGTTTAGCAGGGCTACCCACTAAGTACAGATACTTACAAAATCCTGGAAAAGTGCTAGGCTACCGGCATCCCCACAAGGCTGCCTGCTCTACACACTCCAGATTATAAAGGCAGGTGTGTCATAAAATGCAGTTTCTCACTGTGGGGGTGAAACCAGGTAACAGGGAGAGTGAGGGAACACTGGGTGAATAAGCGCATCTACTTGGTGTAATTGAACTTACAGTTTCCGCAAATGGAGGTGCCACGAGAGGGTGGTCAGGGGCATAAAGAAACTCAGACTCTAATCCCTGATACACAGGTGTACGTTGAAAAAGAACACCATAATGATATGCCAATAGCTTTTATTTATACCCCAACTTCCCCTTTCTTGGTGTATAGACACTGGCCTGGAGGTTCATCAAATAGATCCATTTCCTGAGCTGTGAGCAGAAGGGCGGTGAGCTACCCCTAAAACAACAAAGACACATAGAACAAATGTCCTTTCTGCTTGTGAGATTTTGGTGAAGGAATTTTAAATCATTTTATGAGGCAGCAATTTATTTATCCATCAAACCACCTGATTGAGATATACTTCACATACCATAAAATTCACCCATTTGAAGTGTACAACTGATCAGATTTTAGCATATTTGGAGAATTGTGCAACCACCGCTACATTCTAATTTTAGAACAAATCATTTATTTTCAACATTGAAGGTAAAGAGCTCCATGTTACACATCCTTGGCTAGATTTGGAAACACCCTTGCTCTACAGGGAGGTAGGTCTAGACTCTGTCTATCCTTGACAGCCCAAGTGAGGAAGAGCTCAGGGTCTGCACAGCGGGGGGGGGGGGGTTCCTAAAGACGGCTCTGACTCATCGTGGTAAGGGGCCGGCTGACCACTTTGAACCTTCTGGCCCCAGAAGTCCACATTCTGAAGGGACGGCCTGGAGCAGAAGGGCCCCATATTCTCTTTGTATCCCTCTTAGTTTTACTTTTACTCCTTAAAGGAGCAAAAGTAGGAAGATCATTCCATTGCGTTCCAGACATGCCTCTAGAGGGAGCCTGTTTCCCAAAGCCACCCCAGGGTTCCGTCAGGAGGAACCCCTGTCTGAGATTTTCTAAACTCACGGATCCCTTCCTGGTTTGGCACAGCTCACCCCAGTTCTTGAAATCTGCGTGGCGGGGGTGGAGGGGCTGGGGGGACTTGTGGTTTGTATTCTTTCGGACAGAAATCTCTCAAATCCCCCTACCCTCAGTCCAACTCATGTTTATAATGCCCTGAAGGGAGCATTAACCTCTCCTGAAAGTTTCATCCTTTTTATTTCACATGTCTTACCCTTCATAGTCTTTTTGGAAACATTGGAGTAAAATATACAGAAGATAAAACTTACCGTTTGGACCATTTCTAAGCTCAGTGGTATTAAGTACAGTCTCATTACTGTGCAGCCATCACCACCATCAACCGCCAGAACTTTTTTATCTTACAAAACTGAAACTCTGTACCCACTGAACAGTAACTGCTCATTCCCAGCCCCCAGTAGCCACCATTCTACTCTCTGTCTCTGTGAATTTGAATCCTCTAGGGACAGCATACAAGTGGAATCAAATAATATTTATCCTCTGTGACCAGCTTATTTCACACAGGATAATGTCTTCAAGGTTCCTCTATGTTGTAGCCTGTGTCAGAATTTCATTCCTTTTTCAGGTTGAGTAATACCCCATTGCATGTATGTACCACATGTTGTTTATCCACTCATCCTCTGAAGGACACCTGGGTTGCTTCCCGCCTTGGCTGCTGTAAATAATTCTATGATCATAGGTATACATGTATTTCTTTGAATCCCTACTCTCAATTCTTGTGGGTCTTCACAGTCTTTTATGGCCATGGAGAATAAGGCAAATCTGCTCTAGTGTAGGGTTTCCCAAGTTTTCATGTTAGCATTACAAAGGAAATATTTGTTTGGCTCCTGGGGAAACTGGAAGAGTTGGGAGCCCAGACGGAGTCATGGAGGTGCCTGGCTCCGGCTCCACTGTGGGGCTGAGGGGTCCCCCCTTCACAGCACGCACCAGGATGTGCGCAGGGAGCTCTGTGATCTGGACAGCTGCTCGTGTCCTCCAGAATCTGACCCCCTGGAGCAAGTGGTGCCTGGTGTGTAGACGTTCTACATGTGGGTGGCAGGACGAGGTGTCCTGAGAGGCTGTCGTCTGCTCCCTGTTCACGTGCCCTCTTAGAGAACATGACCCTTTGTGGACATAGGATGAGACATCGGACCTCACAGTCCCTGGCTGCAGCTGCCTGGAACAGTGGTGAACATGTTCAATCAAATTCTCTCTAGAGCCAGAACAAGTTAGGGCACCCAAAGCAGAAGTCAGGGGTGGGAGCTGAGCTGGAAGACGTCACTTTAGGGACTAAGGCTGCCACTTTGAGGCACCAGCATAAGGGAGCTGAGGAGCCAGTCTGCACCGGAAAGGGAGCCAGAAGCATCACCAGAGCTGCACTGAGGGCAGGCACTGGGGAGATAGGGAGAGAATGGGGAGACGACCGGGAGAGGAGAGCGGGAGGGAAACGCTGCCTCAACACGTCTTTCCTTTGAGGCCGGCTCTTTGTCCTGCGTTTGGCTTTTGTGAAAGTCAACTCTGCCTGCAATAAGAATTTTCTTCCCTTGAGGTAGTTGCGTGGCTCTGTGTGCCTTGAAGGAGCAGGAGGGTGGGGCTTGCTGGGAGAACTGTGTAAGGTGAGGAAGCCAGAGTCTGGACCAACATAGCAGGAAAGTAACAAAGTCGCCGCCAAGACAGCACTAAATGCTTCTTTTTTAAATAGTTTATTAATCTGTTTGGCCAAACTGGTAATGGAAACTGAGAATAATAATTTGCTAAAAAGTTCAGGTCGTGAATGCCCCTTTCCCCTATGAAACTGAAAGATTCCATGGGTACAGAGTGCACCATTGGGTTATGACAACATTTCAAAATAAGGTTTCCGTTTCGTATGTAACAATGTAAACTTCAAAAATAGTAAACTCTACCCCCTTGTCCCTCCTTACAGATCTATCACAGATAGAATTTTCTGGCCGACCTAAATTATGGAAGTAAACAGCCTGGTGCTTAAAAGTTTCATAAAAAGGTTTGCAGATTCGGTAAATAATTTTTCGGTCTTAGTCAGGAAGTAAAAGCAACCAGCAATTCATCTTCTGCAGAGTCTACCTCAGATGCACACCATGCCCCGTGTTCCACTATACGAGGCATCAGCTTTGCCATTTTTGTACACACACACACACATATATAGTGTTTTATTTGTTTCTAAAGATTTATACATCTAAATGATAAGACGGCGCCAGTGACTTACAATGTCACCTCGCTTCACATAGTTAAAGACGGAAATTCTGTAGAAGGCACTGTAATTTCTCCTCCATGATTTTACATAGACACGTGAGGGCAAGCCAGGTGGGGCTTGGACTTCACTTTCCCTTTCTGCTCCCTGGCTCCTCCTCCAATTGCCAGCCCCAGAAATTAGCCAGAGTTGATGGTTTTTGATGTCCAATATCCTTTTCTGCTCCACCTCTTCACACCCCATCTACCCATCCATCCAGCTATCTATTTATCCAAAATTAGAATTATCTTTTGGTTCATTGAAATCCCTTATAATTAAGAGGACAGCTGTGGTATAAAAGAAAATATGACCTACCATAGCTGAAAAGTAATCACAGTGTGCAATGTAATTTTCAGTTGCTAAGATTCAAAACACTTGCCCTGCCTTGTCAGGAACATCTGCCATTCAGAACAGCCTAGGCAAGGGTAGTCTGAACCTGCTTTACATTCACTTAAAAAGAGCGGAGAGGTTCTTCTTTTCTCTTTCACACTGAATCGGTACCCTTAAGTGAGAGGTCTGATGTGAAAAAAGTGCAAGCAAGTCGGACATGCCAATAAATACCATATAATTTACCGCAGATTACCAAGACTGTACAGGTATGTACACCTGACCAACCCGAGGTCCCCCGTCAGGAGCAGGCGTCCGAGCCGGCAGCCTGAGGGTCCCCGCAGAGATCGGAGCGGGCCGTCAGCGGGCGAAGGAGGGGCGGGCGCGTCTGCTCTTGCTCTGCGGTCCCAAGCCCAGGTCTGCGCCGCCCTCCGCCGCCTCCTCCTTCCTCCTCACTCTGAGGCGAGTGAGCAGCTTGATCAACCAGACGTCCCACTCCTCGGGCAGGAGCAGGAGCAGGAAGCCCAGGCCGATGATGATGATGGCGATGACCCGGACCTCGTTGAAGACGATCTTACTGGTGTAGTGATCGACCACTGCAGGGGACGAGAGGAGAACTGGGTCACTGGGGGAGGCAGGCCGGCAGGCACGGCAGAGATCCTGTGCGCCCCTTCCTGGGGGCAGCTGTCCTCTCTTGGCCAGGCCGGCAGGGGCTGCCTCCAGTAAATCTCCCTGAACTTTGTAACTCTTGTCTGGTGTGAGCTTTGCTGTACTTCACTTTCCCCAACTGACCTGGCACCTTAGTTTCCACGTAGATTTGGGTGAGAGACAAAATGAGACATGAGGGACGGCTGGAGATGTGTGTGTACGTGTCCAAGTTCACTGTGGCCCCCTCTGGAGCGGCAAAATCCATCATGGAGACAGTAAAGGACAACAACAACAACAAAAAAGGTGGCAAATTAAAAAGCAAGAGCAAAGGCAATTTTTCCATGATGAAAAAATATGCTATTGCTTTCTCTATATTCTTGGTACTGTTCATATTTTATACAGTGACATGTTTTATTTTTATAATTTAAAAGCATCATTTTATTTGTATATAAACATAAATAAATACACACACACATATATATATATTGGAGTCTTTTTAAATATTGAAATATAGTTGATTTACAGAGTTGTGTTAGTTTCAGGTGTACAGCAGAGTGATTCAGTTACACACACACACACACACACACACACACACGTAAAACCTATCAGGGAAAAGAATCTGAAAATGAATGGAGATATATGTATGTTTTGAAAATCAAACCTGACCTGGTTCTTTGAAGATGATCAATACAAATTTTTGTTCCATCCCGGTTTATTATTAGTGTGAGGCTCTGAAGCCATCCACGTCATCACCGACTGGTTAAGTTTATTAAAGACCCAAGGGCTCATCCCTGACTCCCATCAGGTGAGGGAACAGAATGAGAACAGGATTCGTGTCAGTTAGTAAAAATCCAGATCATCATTCTCTTCAAGCTAAAGATCAAAAGCATTTCAAATGTTGGTTTTCTTTTCTTTTCTTTTTCGCTGTCTTTCTTTCTTTTCTTAACTAGACTAGACAAAGCAAATTTGGAGCCTGCTTCCCCGCAGGAGAGAACCTGATTGCTTTTGTTTTATGTCATTTTGTGAAAGAGGGTCTTCTGACTCAAGTGTGCAGCTTTTGAAAGCTGACGTGCTGGACAGCTCCCCCAGCTCCCCGAGTTGGGGAGGGGGCTGCTCCTCCACCCAGTCTGTAGCTTGGCCCTGTCACCCCGCCTCCTGTTCCTCCACTTCCTCCTGCCCCTCTTCTTCCCTCCCAGCCTGCCTCTCACCTCGGTCTTCAGGGTGGCCAGAGAGGGACAAGTTAGACCTGAAATAAAAGCACTTTGTTTTGGTAGCCTTTTTGTGGAATTAAAGTGCCTCTTTTATCTCACCGTAATTCAGAAATACTTTAATTTTTAATATTGGCAGGACAGTCTGTTAATTCACAGATGGGACAGTCAATTAGCAAATCACGTGAACTCCACTAGGGACGGGCGTCAGGGAAAGTCAGAGAGGGAGCAACGGCTCTGTTCTGACAGGTCCGGTCACAGCCGACCCCCCAGCTTCTC